TATATGTTCATCTCTTTTGATAAGTTATTGAAGATTAGAGCTTCTTGATATTTAAAACTTCTTTTCCCAGTCTCGTTCTTAATTTTTGGGAGTTGAACAGATCAGTTGTTACCACGGTTGTTATATGTGTGCGACGTCTTGATAAAGAAATCATCGAAATACTTGCGACTTTGCTTATATACAGACATCTAAAAACTTCAGTTGCAGCTTTTTGTTGGAGCGACATGTTTAAGTTCTCTAAAGGCCGATCTAAATGATGCGATTAGTCGTATACGATTGTTATCCTGACGTATGAAAAAGATTCATGACGCCACTCTTTCTGTTCATCAGTTTGTAACGAAGTTTAAAATGTGACATCTTTACACGCATTTATTCGAATACATACGCCAGTATACGAATCGTATACGACTAATCGCATCGTGTAGATGGGCCTTAAGATTAGGGGATTTTTGTGTCTACGATTTGTTTATTTTCGGCTAATGACTTTTTGTATATCTTATATGCACATGTTCGTGCATTGTCAAGTATTTATTAAGATGTGCTCCCAAATATTCATAGCTTTTGGCCTCATTCACCGGAATGCAGTTAACGATAACGTCAAATTGTTCATTCTTCTGAGTTTTTGTTGTGTTCCAAATAGTATGAAATCAGTTTTTCCTTTTTTAAGTTTGAGTATGAGATTATTTTGAGATAACCATTTTGCCACCAAGATTGATTCTAAATTAAGTGTATTTTGGATAGTTGAAAGTTCATTAATAATAAATAACAATCCTGAATAATGAATTACCGTAGAGTCTGCATAAAGAAGAATTTTCTTTCATGCAGAACTTGATCAAGATCTTTTATAAGGATTACAAAAAGGAGAGGACCTAGTGTCGATCCTTGTGTAATATGTTCAGGTTTGATGTCACATCATTAAATCGAACAAATTGCGTTCTATTGAATAAGTAATCTTGGAACCAAACAGTTCATAGCCCTCAATGTCATACACAGGAAGCTTTTCAAGAAGACATCAGAGGTGTACCGTGTCAAAAGCTTTTCGCAGGTCTAGGAATACAACTCCGGTTGCTATTCCTCTGACCATTGCCATTCCTATGTCATCAACCAATATTGTAACAGCATGGCTTGTTGATCTTTTGCGTCTAAATCCATACTGGTTGTTGGATAACATGTTGTTTTGTTCCAAGTACTCTGATCGTTGATTGTATACCACATTTTCTATAACTTTTGAAAATATCTGTAAAATTAATATTGGGCGGTAGTTGTCAAGCAGGGATTTTGATCCATTTTTATATTTTAGCCTATTTATATTTTCTGAAGTGGGAAATATGCCAGAGTACAAACTGCGGTTTTTTAATGTAATAAGCAGCACCGCGATCTGATCAGCTCCTTCTTTAATTAGTCTTGGTCTATCAGTCTTACATAACTAACTTCGGCGTTTTGAAAGCAAAACTTTTTCATCAGAGGGTTTACTTTAAGTGTCAGGTCACGAAAATATATGCCTTCCAAATTCTAGTCTCACGATTGTTTTTGCCAATTCTGTACCAATTCCAGCGAAAAAGAAGAAAATGCATTGGCAACAGTAGCTCTGTCTGAGATGACCTGATATCTAAATCTGATTGCTTTCGCTTCACATTTTTTCTCCTGAGTAGGATAGCTATTTATTATTAATTTCAAAAACTGTCGAGTGGCGAGGGGTATCAGTGTTTTATCTTAGGAGGTCTTGGTTGTGATTTGCTTTAGCTTTTCATATGGTCGATGTTAGGTATTGCGAAGTCTTCTATGGTCAACCCAGTCGCTTTCGTTTTGTGTCCTTTTTGCTTTACGTTTCATGTAATCTCGCTGGTGAATGGCATTTTTAATTCATCTAGCTAGCCAAGGTATTTTCTTTTCAATCTTTGGGGATTACAATCTATATTTACTTGGTTGAAATTCATTTACAACTGCCGTTGGCAGTGCAACGGAAGCGTGTAAGATCATCCGGAATTCCGAAATTCCGAGATTGAATATTCGAAAATCCGAGATACAAAAATTCCAGTCCCACCGGCAAAAACAAAATTACAGAATATTCAGCCCAAATCAAATTGAAATCGGGCTTCCCAAAGTAGAAACATAAATGAATACGAACAGCCGATGCATTCACGTAAACAAAATTTACACATACAAAGTTAATAAATATTTGCAATAAGGTGCATACTCTTACTGTTAGAGGCTATAACAGCATCAATATTCAGCATCTGCACTGAGATCCTGACAAAATCTACTGTAAACTCTTTATAGCAGTAGAACTGAAGTTTTCAAAATAGCCGGTGCATGGCGAAAGACCGGTAGGATTTAAATCACTCTAAAACAAGTTCCGTGTACATACGCACGTACGCACCATAACGCATCGCGCTTGAGCTCGGTTAGCCACCAAACTATGGAGCTCGCTCAGACTCGCCCCGATAACCTTACATGTCCCAATAAAACCTAATGGTAGTACAGTACATTCTTTACATGAGGCCCTTTTAAACATAGCCATAGGACCCTGCGTTGGCCCAGTCTGAAACTTTGGTAGAAACAAAACAAGAAAGTTGGAATTTTTAAACTTTTACTGGGTGGAAATTCAATAGCAACTGCCAGTTATGACAGAGCTATACTAATTACATAATTGATTATAATATAACAAGAACAAGAATCAAATAAGCGCTAATGACGCGTCTTTCAATTATCAGCCATGATCACTTACACAAATTAGTTCTCAAAAGCATTAACACAAAGTTCCCTCAACTTTAAACTAAAGTAGGAACTCACTGACTGACCAACATGCTGACTGACAATCTTTCATTGAGACGCATCTAAAAACTACAAAATACTGTTGTATACAATAAGCTACAAATCCTACAAATTCTAATCTAAATGAAATATAGAGCGAGTTGCACCATATGGGATATGTCTTTCATACCATAAAGTCAAGGGATATTATGGCATGTTGCACCGCAATAGTCAATATTTATTCCCTTTTTTTCACCAAAACATAACTTTGTCCAGATAAACAGCATTTTCTTTTTCTTTCGCCAAAACATGATGTTTTTCATTAATTGCTATGTGTTTGTCCTGAACAACAATTCTCTTCAAGTAAACTGGATTATCATTTCAATTCGTTTACAATGCAAAAAAATTCAACACGTGCTGCCGACGGTGCTTCAAAAAACGGCATTTTTTCATGGAAATAGATTTTAGCGAGTTCTTGTTTATAGTGCAACGGCTTTTTTATTTCAATCTTAATTACGATGATAGCATCTTACTTTACAATTACAATATTTAGCCCGAAGCATTAAACAGATCACAGGGACCGGTGAGAAAATATCGGATTGGGGGTTTAAACCTACGATTCGTTGAACACACTCCAATGCGAGAGTTTTTCAACTTGCCACAACCGCGGAAATTCGTCAAAATAAGCTGCTGCACTTCAATATATTTCCCAAGTCATTGAAATAGGAAAGTTATTTGAGAAACAACTCCACATCCCCCTTTCCCGCCCTGATCCACTGTTTTGAAATAAATATATGGTCTGGAAACTCGAGTAAAGCCATTAGATGTACTTTTTCACGTTTTGCATAATAAAGCAATCTTTCAATAAGATTACCTTGTCAAAATTACTATTTATAACTCGTTAAATTCATGATAAACATGATTACGAAGGATTTGTGCGCTTTGAAGAAAGTTTTTTTGGCATAGCAATTATAAAACATCAAATATATAATAATTATAATCAAATCGCTCAGATAGGAACCACTTCCGCTCAATACAAAAGCAACGTCGTCGAAATTGTTTAGCGCGTATTTTGTGAAAATTAGCAAACTCAAGTCCAAGAAGCTTTGGCAACGTGAATCTTTACGTGGGCATTTTCCGCGGCTGCTTCGTTTGCTATTTCAGCCGTGTCTGCCAGGAACGTAAAAAATATATCGCAACTGTTAACATTTCTGACTAGTCCATGCATCATGCATTGGTAACGCCTAAAAGCGTGTTGTTTGAATGCTTTCTTGATTGTTTGTTGGGCTGGATCTCGCGTCGTAGATCACCTCGGCTGGTTTTTCAGAGCGATGTTTTTTACGCCCGCGAATTTACCTTTTTCTTTTGTATTAAAGCAATTTGTTCCAGATGACTGCTGTTGAGAGCTTGGAAACAAAAGTAAAATGGCGTCTCTCGTAAGTATCATGGGTATAATGGGAAACCAAGAATTTTCTCTCACCTACTTTTGCTCAAGATTAATTGTGTTCTATAGACGCAGGCTTTACTCGCTATAAATATGGGACGTCACTCTACTTAGCAGGTGGGATGGTTAGGTGCAGACGTGTCCCTAATCACGAACAACATATACAACCGAGCCTTCCACACCATGTTAATTCCCAGTAGGTTAATTGAGGGATGCCGTTATTATTACACATTGCACCGCCGCGCGCCCAGTTTACGTCGAATCCGCTACACTGCGCTTTCATGGCCCACTTTAGCAAACTCGCGAATACAAATTGCCTGGCTTTATGTCAGAGTTTTTAGAATTTTTTTGGGAAAATTTCGAATTTTAGGTAAATTTTTGATAAAATTTAACCAAGGATGCTATATTCAAAATTTTCTAGGTACTTTACACCTCAACATCAAACCCGCGACGTACGCCTTTGCAACTCGCAATGCTTGTGGCAACTCGTTGTTATAAAATGAAACATACCGATTATGAGCATAATCAAGCTGAAGTATATCAGAATTTTAATTTTCGGATTCAATGTTGTTTTATATCTCTGTTGCAGCGGACAAAACTAACAGACGATTAAATTTTCTTTGTGATTTAACCAATGAAAAGATTGATTGTTCATACGTATATGTCATACAGTATGTGATATTTTTAGTATGAAATATCTTAATTTCAGTGATGTTTTTAGTAAAATATTTATGTTTAGACCAGTCATTGGTGTCTTGGGATGTGTTAGTGTGCAGTGGTCGCATGTCACGCAGTACCGATATTTTATCCTAGACGTTGCCGTTGTTTTCTGCAGTCGCGTCCCAACTCCTTTTTAGCTTATTAAAACAATTGAAGCTCGGCCGTTCAGTCAAATTTCAGACCATATATTATTAACTATGTAAGCAGCAAGAAAAAGAAAATCTAGTCTATTATCTAACCTAGTGTCCTTGAATGATTGTGATCTCAGTAGCAATCCACACCGACATCATGACGATGGTCGCAGTACACGAGAGGACTATTCCATCCATTATGACTGCAATCCCAGATGAATGATTCATCACCAGAGCATTGAACAAAAGAAAGCAATACAGGAACACTTCCTTTCCCATAGTAAGCCCAGGGTCTGATCTTGGTCGCTCCAGAGAAACCCAACTGACGACAGGTGACGTTACCTTCAACAATCCCAAAGTAATTTGCACTGCTGTCGCGCCAATGACACACTGTACCCCAGCCAAATGTTGGATGATAGATTTCGACTCTTCCACTCATGTTGTTACTTGAAGCATTCAATCTGATTTTCAGTTCAGAGTTGGCTATAACATGGACAATTACACATGTTTAGGAAAGACAACTTCCAGTTGATTTTCAGTTCTCATGTCTCTCTTTTCTCTCGAACAAATACGTACTGCGGTATATAAATGAGTGCACTTCTAGTACGTCTAACGCTCTCATTGCTCGCAAAACAGAAACAATTTTGGTTATAGCTAAGAGACAATAAATTTTGTTGAAATTTAACTCACATCACCGATTCGATCATTTATGTTAAAAAATTTCTGTTTATTTGGTATGAAATAAAGCAAGCATTAATACCATCACCTTATTGCTACTATATTATTTCATTTGGGCTATATACTGTTAAAAAAATTAACAATAAATCACAACCAATATTCGAACATTTTGTCATTTGCATTATCATCCCTGCCTGTGCCTGCTACATGCATAAAGATTAACGTCGATATTTTTATACTTCGAATAGCGAAGAGATAGAGTAGGCACGGAGTTTAGGAACTGCTGGGTAAACGAATAGCTCGATATTTAGTTGCGGCAAACTGCATGTCAGTCTTGACGAGCTTGGGCAAAGAAAAATATTTCGTCTGATGATCGATTTGTGTACATTGTATATATAAAAATAAAAACCCACAATTAGAAAAAAGCTGTGCAAATTCTTAGACCAAAAACACAGATTTCGTTGATGTCTGCACGATGATGTTTGCTAATTCGCAACGTTTATTATAAATAATAAATTCAAATTGATTTTGTGTGGTCTGTGCTGTGAAATATCAGACCGAGGCTTTTTAGTAGAGATCGAGCGACGTAGAAGCGAGGATCGCGTAAAGGTCAATAACCGAGATACTGCATGTTTAGATACGGAATATGCGGACCAAGGTCCGGATTTGGGTTTTTCGGCTCCTCGAGAACCAATCAGAACAGAGGATTTTGAAAAGTTTTATAATGATAAAACGAACACATAAAAACAGTTACCGTACTTAGATGTTGATTACATGGTGTCATTTCAGCCCGGCAAACCTGGGCCTAAAGTAAATTTCAATTCCATGTCAAGTTTCAGCCCAGGCTGTGTTATGACACGTTAGAATTATTTTAAAACCAGGCTGAAATTTCTGCCCGGGCTGAGTTTGTAAAGGTTGGTAGTAGACCTATTTCGATTCTTCGAGCGCTTTAAAATCCCGAATGACAATAACTTGATCTTTAAGGGACTATGACTGCACATATAAAAATGAAATAAACAAACGAAAAATCATTGTCAAGGCAACGTTTTCTGTCTGGGTTCAAGTTTGTTTACGATTACATGACAATCGCAGCCCCAGTAGCTTCAAACGAGCTGAAAATTGAGCCCGGGCTGAAATTATTGTCATATTATCGTGGGGTATATTTCATTGGCATTTCATAAAAAAACCTAGGCTGAATTTACAGGGCTGAAAAGCTGTAAGCCGGACTGAAACTCAGCCCTGGCTGAAAGCACTCCAGGTAATCATGCAGACCTCAAGTTACTGTTACTGTACTTCCAGTTGGAAATTATGAGACACTTAATTGTTTCTCAGTTTCTACAAACGTAAGTTTATCGCATGCTCCTATAAATACAATTTTTTTCGAAATAATTCCACACTTTTTTACTTCTCGCGTGCTCTTGAACATATGCGTGACGTCAAGTGGACGAACATCGCTAAATTTCGCTGACTTTTTGCGTTTTCCACGTGGTTGAAATAATGATGAGATCAAGATTGCTGGCTATGGTTGTATATTAACTCGTATACAAGCGTCTCTACAAAGCACCTTTAGCTAATTGAGTACATTTATGTTTTGTGTGCGATTTCTCTAACCACAAGATACACACATATATGATGTCTGCTAAATTTTAATTTTTACAGTTGATATTAGATAGACAATTTTTCGTGTAAATATTTTTTTTGCCATTTCTCTTTGTGCAAAACCGATGTAATTTAACCTACGGTTACAACGTTAGTTTATAAAAATAAATTATCAAATTATCACATTCTTGGGGACCAAAAAGGTCTCACCAGCAGCGCTTTTGCCTTCAGAGCCAGACTCGGAGCCAGAGCAAATGGCTAAAGTTGTAAAATTTCTTAACATTCCCATATCATATCCTGGATTAATTCACTTAAAATAGTTAAAATACTAGAAATAAGAAACTCAACCCGCAAGGTTTTTTGAACGAAAGGGTCTAAGCTAGAACTCGACCGGCGGCATGTGATGTATAACCAATACCATTTTGAAAAAATACGATCGCGGTTGCCGTTCGCTTCGAAATTACGGAATGTTATATTACAACAATCAAATCGAAAACATGTTAAGAAATGTCTGTCAGACTGAGTTAGACAGAGGTTCAACATCGGGTTCACCGCGGTTTGATCTCGGTCCGACCCACGTAGGTTAATCGCGGTTTTTGTTAGGTTATTTCTGGACAGTACTGCATGCGTCTGCTTGTACGTTGCTAATAATTACACAACATGTTTTTTCTTCAGTTCCTATAATATCTGCATGGATATTAACCTGCCGCAGTTTGTTAAGTATTAATTTTGAAATAAAAAAATCAGATAGACAAATGTTATGTACCCCAGGGTCTACAATTTCAAAAAGTGACAGCAACGTCGTAAAACCACTTCCTACCAAAGTGAGTGAGAAGTAATGGACCGTTTGCATAATAGACCAACTTTTTATTTAGGCGACAAAAAGGGAATTTCCGAACAGTACATACCAAAATTAGTAAAATTGCCAAGTTTGGCTGCGAAATATTGTAAGGCGCGGAAAATATAGCCATGCGAATTTGGCAATTTTGTAAACCTTTAACTTACGGCCGGACGTGTGTAATTCAATTAATTACACGCTTCCGGCCGTAGTAAAAAAGTATACAAAATTGCCAAATTGGCGTTGCTATATTTTCCGTACTAGTTGACATTTTGCAACCAAACCTGGCAATTATACTAATTTTGGTATGCTCTTTTTAGCTGTGGTGGTTTATTTTTTCCTGAATGCCTAGATAATAAGTTGGTCTATTACGCAATTGGTCCATTAATCCTTGTATAATTCTTTGCAATAGCATGAAAGTTTTTGCTTCGTATGATTTAAAAGTTTTGAAATAGCCCGAATGTCCAACTCTTATCGTGGAATCGAGTCATGAAAATTTCTCTTGCTATTACTTACATTAGTCAAATAATTATAACAACATATAATTATACCGTGTTCTTTGATGAAATAAATAATCTATATATTATGTTGTATATAATATATGAAAGTTTTTGCAAACTATCCCCTTCGCTAACCAAATCACCTACGTATAGATTATCTCCTAAAGTTCAACAAATACTTCGACTAATTAATTCTCTTCTTTTTTAAAGTCAATAATATTATATTGTCGATTTTCGAGCTTCGTGTATCATTTTAGCCCTTTTCAAATTAAATTGAAGGAGGCGCGTAAAAGAATACGTTTGTGATACACGCATAGGTTGGTAAATACCTTCTTTTTAAGTCCGTTCTGCGTATCGCAGTATACTCTAAAGTAAAAGCTGCCTAAATTTCGAATGTTTTCAAAATTTCTGAAGAGAAACTAGTTATTTAGAAGCGTAGCGAACCTGAGCTTTATTGGCTGCCACCTTATAGTTTGGGAACGACTTTTAGACTATTTTACATTTTGGTAGGTCATCACATCGTTCACTTTTCCGAATTCCCACAGCTTAAAAAAACTTTATAATCATTGTTTTCAATATAGTAAGAATGTTTTCACAGGGTTTCAGAAGGGCACTCGACTGATGTAAAATATTTTGGAACCAACTTCATATGTTCCACGGTTTAATAGAAGACAACACATGTATGTACACGGGATGGCAAACAATTAGTGATGCATGTTTTCATGGTAAATATCATAGTCGGAAGACTTAAAAGAGTGAAGAATGTTTTCTGCGCAATTTCCATTGTTATGCAATGAATGAGTATTGGTAAGGTCGATAGAGCAAAAAGAGAAAGTTGATATGGGGTACACGAAAGAACATTTTTTGATACCTCAAGTAAAATTACCGTGTTTACTCGTTCGCGGCGCTCTTTAGATTTTTAGAACTTCAGATGCGGCGCTTATAATCGAGGGCGGCGCTCAATCAGGGGCGGCGCTCTTAAAAATATTATTTGTGAATTGTAGAACTTTAGATAAAAATAATTGAAAGTTAGATGTAGCCATATGTCCCATTTTGACAGCGAGCATTTGGACATTTAACAGAAAACAAACATCCGCGCACAAATATTTGGAATCTCCGCCTTCACGACTGACCTACGCCTTACGAAAATTCTAAAGACAAATTTAACAACAATTCAGACGGTGCGTCGATTAAGCGCCGAATTTGAAAATAATTAGTGCGGCGCTCAATCGGGGACGGCGCTCAATCGAGTAAATACGCTATGTGCCTAAATTAGGCTGCTGGCGAACTTTCATAAGAACAACATGTGCTAGACGGAACTTAAAAATGCAAAATGCAATTATTACAAGACTCAATGGAAAAGATAAAAAAACTCTTGATTATTGACAGTAGCGTAGCCAGACTGATGATTTGTCCCGCTATGCTAATATTTTGGTGTTTATTGACTGTGAAAACAATGAATTTCTAAAGAAATGAATAATTATAAAAATTCGAAATTTATATAGCAGGACCAAACCGTCAGTCTGACTACGCCACTGATTGTTGATATTCTGAGATTGTCAGTAAAGCATGTAATAAAAATAGTAAGTCAACCGTACATGGCTTTAAGCTTATCTTCCGCCATTCGCTGTGGCATACCCCTGAAAGAGAGTTGAACCAAAACTGGATAAACAAAGAAAAATTTGGGTACATACCAGAGCATTTCACTTCGTCAAAAAATGACTCATTCTTGCAGTAACAAATGTAAGAACCTGGAGTGTTGTTACACCAGCGTTCATAACCAGTAAGATTGCATGGGGATGACATGCATTCATCAATGTCTAAACAAAATAATGATTACATATATAAGAGTCTAAATGATATAATTATGGGCTTAACTAATCATAAAAAAGTGGAGCAAAAGGCATGTTCTATACAATGGCGTGCAGGCTATGTATAGTTTTGAATTCGCCTGAAACCCACTTTTCACCGCTCTCGAAAATTACGTTGCTGGGTAAATATCACGCATGCATGCTTTAAAAATCGATGTTGTCACTAAATACACCTAGACATTACACAGTAATTAAAAGCATGCCTTATACTCACCTGTGCAAGCCTGGCCACTGACGTTGTAACCATTTTCACAATGACAAGTTCGTGAACCATTGATGATCGAACAGTGGCCGTGAAGACATTTGCATTTTCCTGTGAATTCAATTCAGTATGCATTTTTAGAAATATTTGAATTTCACAGCAAAAATTTATAAATATATAATATGTCGATTTTCGAAGCGGATATTGAATAGCTCACATGGCGACCGAAAGTCATTTTGTTAACTTCCAGATTAAACTTCTAGATCAAAATTCCAGATCTCGGACACAATATCTATAGCACCCGATTTGTTGTCGTTATTGGCCCTGTAGCGCTATAACGAGCCAGGTTAAAACTGAGTGTTTGTAAGACAACAGTATCTTACCAATAAGCCAAGACCGGTATAAATACTGTGAAATTTGCCGGAAACAAGCAGACATAAATATTTTAATTATGTAAGTTCTGAATGATTGGCATGGTGGGGAGTAGTGTCCCATATTCATATATTTCTTCATCATATATCATCATCATGCAACACTCGAAATGAATTCCGTATTTCCGCGCATCCATGCATGAATTATTCTCTATGTATTGTTCATCAAAAATTGCAAGCAGCGAAGAATGATTGAAAAGCCACATAGCATGAATCTATTTTTCATTCATTTACAAATTTAATGCGTACACACAACGGATGAAGGTTCTATTAAAAATGTACAAAGTTTGGTTTTCTAATGGTTGGTGATGCAGCGGTTGAAAGCCGGATTTCCTAATACTGCTCCAAACATTCGGATCTTTTGTTATGTCAAATTTCTAACACGCAAGGAAAAGTCGTTTTGCCATTATTTTCTATTCGTGAAAGCCAAGGAACTATCCGTATCATTAGCAAGGAGTGGATTGTAGGTTTATCTTTTTTAAGCTAAGTCTGTCTTATACAAGGTGTATAAAAAAGACCTTTAGAAACTAAACTATTTTTATAATTTAAATGCCCCATCACTCTTAACCTTTGGATGCGTAAAATATTGTCAGCTTTGTGCATATATTACATATCTTTGTCACAAGCACAAAAGCCTTTCTGTTCCTGGAAATTTTACATAACTTCTAAAAGCCAAATTCTGCACAATAATGCATAATCAAAAATAGTTTTAATCGTCCAGACTTATACACAAACGTAAAAACACATACGTATACAAAACACGTTTCGAGAAAGGTTCTTGATCGAAATCCGATGCACCGGTGAAAAGCACAACCTTGAACAACGGCGGTGCGAAATTAATGAGCAGTATTAATTCGTGCCATGCATTAGATATTATGGTTAAGTAGGCTCTTGATAAGGTTGCGATCCGTACCCTTGATACAGAATGGACTAATATTGTTAATTCACCATCAGTAAACGGAATATGTATATTCGTGTATAATAGGTAGACAGTCGGATGTTAAAAGGTTGTTGATCCGTACGTGCCAGCGGCATCGAATGGTCTGTTAGTTTACTATCAGTGAACACACTCTGTCCATTCATAACAGGTACAAAGAATAACGTGTAACTAAGTTAAACTAAGGCCGAACCTTAAAAAGGTTGAGAACGAGAAACATTGCATGTTGTTATCAAGAGTGCGTGTGTTGAACATTATAATTATAAATTATAAATTGCTCGTAAATTGAAATTATAAATGAAATTATAAATTGCTCGTATTTTTCGTGAGAACAAGAATACATATAACTATCGTATTGATAGACATAACTTGCGTGTTATATATTGTAGTGACATTTTGCAGACTATATCTCGGGAACTCCGCTCGAAATATCTGAGAATACAAGCAGTATGGCATTACAATCTGTGCTTCACATCATTTTTAATCCAAGAATCCTGAAAAATATAGGTATTCACCCCCCCCCCCTGAACTGATCTGTCCCGTGAACCTTCTGTGGCTTTTATACCTTGTGCTTCACACACTTTCATCCTTTCCTTTTTGTGTTTTCAACCTCTCTAGACACTTAGATATATTTTAGCCCATGTCTAATCATTTGCGTTTTTAACCTCTCTAGACACTTAGATATATTTTAGCCCATGTCTAATCACCACAAGCAGGGGCGGCGGAACGTAATATATTTTGAGGGGGCTAATTTCACGAGGCGCCACCATGGTTGGCGCCGAGCGAAATTTTTTTGAATTTCAACGCTCTAGATCTTCGGAAATGGCCATTTCAGAGTCTTACTTGCCGCTTTCATCGTAGTTTTTCATGGGCAAACACAAACTGAAAACGGCACAGCGCGTGTAGTGATATCTTCTACATTTGAAAAATCATCTCTCAAATTCTCAAAATAATTTCCGAACAAAATGGCGTTCCGAAAATAATAACAATGTACAACCACGAATATTCTGCTGTTAAAGACGACTATGAATAATAATATTTAATATAAAATATCAAATTTTTATTAGCATTTAATACGCCGGCGAGCATTAACTTGACGACTTCATGTTAACGTAGTTTGTATATTTAATCTCCCATTCTGACATTCTTCATGAAATTTTTGGGGGGGCTAAGCCCCTCAACTTTTATTTCTGGGAGGCTAAAGCCCCCCTAGCCCCCCCTGTTCCGCCGCCCCTGACCACAAGCGAAAAAGATCTCACTCACGCGACTCTACCCACCGATCTTCGAAGTTTAAAAATTCCTCGCACGAAACAGATTAGTCAAATCATAACAAAATTAACAAGGAAATGCTGCGGCAACTTTGCACTATCTCATCTACAGTTTCTGATCTCAAATCTAACATGGAAGTGTGTAGTAAAATAATTTCCCAGCTTGAACATGCCATGGTTTGCGAAAATATCACACATTCTCATTCTGAAAATCAAGTAGATCCCGAACGGGACGATGATGACACACTTTCGATTTTGGCGGGAAACGACAATCCCTTGAACAGCGAGGATTTTGAGGCCATTGAGCCATCAGAACAGATTATTAAGCCACCAGATCAAGCTATTAAGCCTCTCAACTCTAACACACAGCACAAACCTTGTCTCAATACCGAGAATATACGTGGAGACAAATCGACAAATCAAAAAAACAATGAAACATAGTAACTTTATATTTAACCGGAGCCTGCACAGCTCAAATCACAATTATGAAGTGAAAGTGCACAAACAAAGAACGGAAGTCAGGACCTGTCCGGTGGTGACTTTTTACGACTATATATGGCAACCCGATTATGATATCACCCCCAGATGTAACAATTTTTTCCGATGCCTGGAAACAGGTGTGGAGAGCAGTCAGCAGCACCAATCATACAAACGGGAAATAGTCGGCCACCATGAAGTAGTTATACATCAATGATACTCAAATTGAAGGCTGCTTTTCTCGGCCCCCATGAGTCTCGTCCCTGTCTTACTTGGACCTCAATCACTGCAGCTATCTCCAGAGGATCTAACGTTTACTTTATTTACCACAAAGACAACTCGACCGGATGAGACTGTTTCGGCATTTTATACTTGTTTTCCGGATGACCGTAGATTATGTCCAGTGGCAAGTTTTAAACATTACATTTCAACGATGGCGGAATTTAAGAAAACTTTAAAAGACCAACCCAATAAGTTGTTCCTTTCATTTATTAAACCTCATAAATCAGTCAGTTCAGGAACGCTGGCTCGCTGGTTTCGTTCAATGCTGCAGCATGGGTCCGGCTCGTATAGATAGAAAAATTTTCAAAGCGCATTCCTTAAGGGGAGCAGCAACTTTAGCAGCTGCCAACGGTCTGTTCCCGTAGATGAGATGATGGGAAACTTAGCACTCTTAGCACTCTGCGCTAACTTGTAATGAGCTACTTTGCGGTCGTCTCTAAAACGTGGCGCAAACAAGCTTTAAACTCGGCTACAAATAACAACTAAGCCTGCAAGTTCGAAACCAAAGCCAATGGAGTGGACAGAAGACCACGATTTACTGGTAATGCTTAGAATTCCATCGTTTAAAATCTAAACCGATTCGTAAACCTTGTATTTGGATTGAAAGATAACAGAAGTGTGCGGACCGATAGAACCTATTAAAGACTAAATAAAAAAAGAAAACCAGGGACGAGGAAGCTGTCAGTGGTATTGATGTCGATGATGTTACAGAGAGAGAAAGTATGATCGAAGTGTTGTGTGCCAAAGAGGACAGTTTTGTTGATGTCGACACAGCTCGTAAACAAAAAGAAAGAGCAAATGTGGAAGACATGAGAATGAAGGCTTTAGAGCGTTTGGGAGAAATGAAGAAACGCATGACTGAGGATGCGGATTATAGACCGAAAAAAACACGTAGGGGTGGCAGGAACTAATCGAATACCTTAAACAAAGATCGAGCACAGACAGCGAACTTCGTCCAGAGGAAATAGCGCTAAAAAAGTGCTAGCTTTTTTCGGTCTATAATCCGCATAGATAGATAGATAGATAGATAGATAGAGAGTAGAATAAGTAGAATACAATAAAGAACTATATATACAAATTTATTTGATAGAAAATTCTCTGATACTAGCAGGAATAAAAGATCTTAAAGATCTATTAGTTTTTGCAATTAGTAATTGAAAATTACGCCTACATCTTAAATCGTTGGTAACAGAGTCTTTTTGAGGTACCTTGACACGCTTTAATTGCACGATAAAATAAATTCGTTTATTTGCTTTGTTAATAATCTATGTAACATGCATGAACCACTTTAGGTCATCACTAATAGTAAGTCCAAGAATCTTCGCATGCCGGACTAACTCTGGGGAACCAGAGATTAGCTGAACACTGGGGAACTCTTCTCTGGTTGTTTGGAATTGAATTAACAACTCTTCGCATTTTTTATTATGCAACTGGAACTTGTTTCGGTTAGTCCATGTGACCAATTCGTCGGCCCCTGATTGAAAGTGACTGGGTTGATTCTTTGAGACAATTATAGATGCTGTCGTGTCATCTATATATTTCAAGTGGTGGAAGTTTCACAAATTTAGATCATTGATCATCAGAATGAATAACCAGGGTCCCAATTTTGTCTCGTTGTGACGTTTTGTGATATTTCATGCTTGTTTTGCTCAAATGATAGTTTTTATTGCATGCATATGTGGCCGTATTGTTTTTTTCTCTTGTATTTTGCATTTGTATCTTGCTCATACTGTGTAGAAGAAGGAAGTAAATGAAGTTTTACTGAATACGTTGCGAAAACAGTGTTTTTGTGGCGCAGTTCTGATTGAATTAATCAGATGCCAAAACAATTCCACATAGTTTTCTGTAATGTTCAACAGGGCAAACAACAACATATCGCAAGCCATATCTCGATTGTATCATAACAACTGCATTGTCAGATGCTTTGCCTTAGACAAGGAGCTATGGCTCAGATTCATTGTAATGAATCTAAATTGTCGGATATGAACAAAAACCAAATTGTCGGATTGGACAAAAACCAAAATAAATTGAGGCGTTTTCATTTAATAAAAGGTATATATGAAACTGCAAAATGCTGCGTGTGTAAGAGCAAGGAAATTATTTTTTTTCGACGGAAGATTTACTCTAATTTCTGTTTGGTAGTTTCCTTGCCGAAAAGCGAATTCAAGAAGTGAACCTTACACTAACATTTACCAAAATGTATGAGCTTACCTTCAGGTTGTCGATCTTTGTCTACGACGAGAAGCTTTCTCACGTCGAAGCCTTTTGGTAATGGAATATAACGAGATATATTTCTGCTGGTGACATTCATTTTTATGACAATGGGTGAAATTCTTTCTTTCCAGTAAAGAAAATCTCCAATAACGTCCACTGACATCCATCCATAACGATCAGCTGAACCATAATTAGTTGTCTGATTGATGTTAAGGCCATCGTAATCCATTTCAATTATGACGTTAACTTTTCCCAATCCCTCGTACGCGTACACTCGCTTCCTGTTGTAATCCAGAGCCAGATAGCATTCACCAAATCTGTGGAAGTGATATAATTGTTTGTCATCGTTGGCAGTCAAGTGTCTTCGCATTACCTTTCTACCATCATACCCAGTCCAAAATAGATATCTACATAGTGAACAACAATATAAAATTGTAATTATTATTAAAACTGGCTCAAAGTTAGCTATGTAATCTGGGATGTATTGCGATTTAAGGGAACAGAGTGATGACAGCGGCTACAAACACAATAAATAATTGAATTATTCAAAGACATAGGCCTACACACTCAAATTCATTGAGTTGTATATTTCAATCTTCTCATAACGTTTCTATGCCGGTATTTTCATAGAATACGATCGAGGTTGATTATCAGTGTCTTATACTTCAGGGGCCGGTTGTATCAAAGCCGGATAGCGCTATCCACCGGATAGTGATTTTTTCAACCGTTCTAAAAATGCTCGAAAAGCGATAAAATTTCAACTTGGAAGCAACAATTATTAAAGAGGATCCTCGATTTAAGAATACTAAGATTTAATCAAAGTTATAGCAAATAACGAGCGATTTTGAAGCGATTGAAAAAACCACTATCCGGTGGATAGCGCTATCCTGCTTTCATACAACCGGCCCCAGGTCTTTTTATCGACTAAAAAAAAGAGTGTGAGTGAGCTTTCTCAATACATTCTCTTTATGTCACATTTTGTGTTCCGTGGCCAATTTATCGCTTATATTTATCACTATTTATAACATGGAACACTTTTCCCTAAATCACAGGCAAGATCAATTACTGCCAACCGTCACAATATAAGTAAAACTATAATAAGCTGAGACTATCCGCAGACGGAAACAAAGCCGAGTCCTTTTTTTTGTGCAGAATCCCTTTTCCATTCAAACTATACTTGAAGCAGTGCTTCAATTCTCCGCCGTGACTTCACTTTGTATCCGATATTTTCCCGATTTCCAAATTCAAAATTTAACGCGCGTGCAACTATTCAATTAGGGTAGATCAGGGCTGGTTGTATAAAACTCTTAACTCTTAACTATATATACGCTTTAACTACGCGAAGGTAGTCTTAATCACGTAATTAAGCTGGTTGTATAAAACTCTTATAACTCTTAACTACGCTTTAAGGTGGCTCCCTAGAGTTTTGTAAAAATTCTAGATAGTAGGTTTGTTGTGGCGAATTAAGCGCCAATATTGCAGACTAAAGATCAATAATACTTTTGATTATATTGTGGAGTACGTTAGAGATGAGAAACTGTTGACGGATTAAATATAAAGGCCGTTGCTATGGAAACAATGAGGTTTCAACATGGCCGCTAATTATAATTTAATTGCAATTATTTCGTGAATCCTTCGGTGAATTTTCTTTATTTTTCACCGAATGCTTTGCAGGTCATTTAGTAAACGACCGGATCATGGTACTCAATACGTTAAAGCTAATTTTAATCTACAGTTTACAATGTTGGTGCTTAATTCTGCATCATTAAACCTGCACTTAAAAAATTCTCAAAACCCTAGGGAGCCACCTTAACTACGCGAAGGTAATCATAGTTAAAGTTAACGACGTTTTTGTACAACCGGCCCCTGGGCTGGAAGCTTCAACCCTCCTTCATTTCTATATAGAGAGAGTATGAGGGAGCAATTTAAACCTAGTTTTAATAGTCATGGCTTGTGATTGCTGTGAAGTAAACAGTCATAAATCAAAATAATAATATAGTTTGTCACGGCACTAATGCAGTATCCTAACTAGTGTTTCTCACGTGGACGATACAAGTTTGTGTCTAACAGTAACTAATTACGCACATCGGCCCTAACCTAACGCTTAAATTGTCTAAAACGCAAACTCGACCGGAAGTCATACCTGCCACGACGAGGGGAGATACAGCGACTGATAATAGTATATGATCATTTAAGATGCAAAAACCAAAGATGCACAGTTTTGCTTGCGATGTGAGAGAGTGCGCGATATTCCGGTCAGATTTCAAGCATGCCATCGAAGCAAAACTATGAGCAAACGTGAGCATATAATATATTCACGAACATATGTTTAGAAGGAAAACCGTTTGAATTAGTTGCTGGGACTTCGGTGCTAAATATGACTCCTGATTCCTGAACAACAAGCCATTTATAAAGAAGTTATTAAATTTTTATCTGAAAACATAACTGAAGAAACGCATTCTGAGACTGGTGAGGTGTTTCCCCAATTTTTATTCAGCCTAAAAAGGAGCCAGGAAAATATTGAGTGATTTTAAACCTTAAAAGACTTAATGAGGCTGTCACTTAACGCAAATTCAAAAGAGACACTTTGGAAACAGCTATCAAACTCATGAAACCTGGCTGTTTCATGACGCGAAATGTTTTACGCCAAACTTACTACACTGTGCCCATAATGTCAATCTACTGCTTTACCCATGGGACTATCGAACACACTGCGATTAAAATTTGGTCACTCTTGTCTCGGTTACATTCATGACTCCATTTACATCGAAGATTCTCTCCGGTTGTGCAAAGATGCTATTTTTAATGCAACTCAGTTATCAATTTGACCAACTAGGGTTTGTACCAGATCATTCTAAGTCGGTATTTCAACCAACACAAGCTCTGGAGTTTTGGGGATTTTTATTAAACTCCACTACCATGACTGTTTTGCTCACGACCAAGAAAATTATAAAATTACTGCTCTTTGTGTACAATTATAAAAGTTTCCCGAAGTTACCATTCGACAGTCAGCTTCTATTATTGGATCATGTCTCTACAATCCCTAAAGCTGAATTTGTACCGCTATACTATAGAGCACTAGAGCGTGATAAGACCCTGGCATTACGACACTCACACGGGGATTTAAAAAAAAAAACAAGACGCATATCTAGGCGTAAGCTTGCGATTCTGCGTGCTGAAAGTTTCGCTGTACACACACTACTAGGACTACTTAGCCTCCTTCGCAGGCAACTCTGTGCAGTGTAAATTACCTGTGAATTGTGCTGTGAATGTCGAGGAGGAATGCATACATCTGCTATTACTAAACATGCCTGCGGAAGAGGCTAGACACTACTGGCATTCACTAGGCAATTACATGGATTGCTCTAGATTCTGCATTTGGCAATTATTTTTCAATTATATACTATTTAAAACAAGAGTAGGAGTGTTTTATCACATATAAAACAGGACACGAGTGTTTTAGATTTGATAAACTACGAAAGTTTCCGAATAGCGGACGACTGCCAAGTGTGCACACAATTGCCTAGCTTAAAAAAAAAATAAAAAATTACCGGATTTAAAGCTTGCTATGCTGCGCATCGCAAACAATTACGGTGTCTATCACAGGCCAGTATTGATGAACTTAAGTGCTGGGTCTCTTCCCTACCAACTGCATCTAGGATTATTGATCATGGTATCCCGGCTCATTTGAGTATGACAACTGATGCCTCGCATATAGGTTGGGGAGCCGTTGTAAGCGGAACTAGGACATAAGGGCTGTGGTCCGCACACGACATGGAATTCTTATTAACTTTTTTTAACTTCTGGCGATAAAGTTTGGGTTAACATCACTTCTTCATAACACCTGTAACACGCCTATCCGAATTCAATCAGATAATATGGAGGTTAAGATCTACTTCCACAACCAGTACCGATACAAAAATACATGACGTATTACTGTTTGGCAGCGCGGAAACTTTAAAGCGTTAAGATTGTGACTTCCGTAAGAAGTAAATAAACATGGCGGATTATAGCGGCTGTTTCACATCAAACACTCTAAACACAATCCTTAAGTCTCAACAAACAAAGCAGAAACATTACAGAACTAAAAACTAAATAATATTATTAGAAAAAACTGCAGGAAATGCAATAATACAGTAAATATAATTCGGTACTTCGCCTACCTATCCACTTCCATTTTCAGCCCCAAAACGGTACTCGCGACTTCCGGTGTTATCACATTTTGGACGATTGTTACGTCTGCGCATGCGCGTGACTGAATATTGGTATCGGTACTGGTAGCAGAAGTCGATCTTAACCTCCCTAATACAACACCTGTCACATATTTAAATGCAATGGGTGGATGCAAATCTATAGAGTGTGACAATGTTAGTAAAGATATTTGGCTATGGGCCATAGCTCGCAATAATTGGTTATTGGTCGCGTTCACTCCGGGCAAACAAAATACTGTTGCTGACTAACTTTCATGAGAATTTAATGCGGTATTAGAATGAACTTTACATCTTACTCATTTGAGTAGGAATTATTTGAGTAGAACTTTGACACTAAGAGAGACCAAATCTACAAAATTACTAATTTCTTTGGTGAAACCACGTGGTCCTAAAGCATGTTGGTTTTTCATCAGTTTCTGTGTTTCGGAAATTTTATAACAAACTTATTATCATTTGTCGTGGATATTACTAAAGAATCATTATATGAAGACCTCGTGGCTTTGTTTAAGTGAAAAAATCTGGACGATTTGATCGATAAATTCGAAAGTACTTCGAATCTACACATATACTATTAATGATTTTCTATATAAAAATGTTTTCGGAAGATTACTTCCCTCTAGAATATTACTTAGTGATAGAACAGGCTTGTTTCTACCTGTACTATCACGATACATACTATAAAACAAATACAGGTAAGATGACTGTTTAATTTAATTAATTTCTAGCAGACTTTTTTTTAATATTGTACTGCTTAATTACTCAATTAACTTCTTAACTAGAAATACATGCGTGCAGCAACCCCTCGCCATTTCAAACGAAGCAAAATATTTCCTCAGCTAGCCAGACCTAACCTTCAATATTATGAAATGTCCTAAATGTAAAGCCGATAGCTGATGTTTCAAATATTTCGGAAACAAACACAGTCGTAAAGGTGAAGTGACGCGCGACTGCTGCTTTCCGTTGCATTAAGTTATAGACTTTCACAGTTTAAGTGAGAGTTAATACTTCATTATAGCTTAACCTTCAAAGCATCAAAACAGCCCAAATAATATAAATAACCAAGCAGTGAACGTCGAATGTTGTTTTTCGATTATTAAATTCGTGCAGTGATTGCAGTCGACTATATATAAACCTTTAAAGTGATATTTGTTATATTAAAACTCCCAATTACACTTTTAAGGACTCTTTTGGAAGTTAAAACGATGATGTAAAGCCTTAAATAGTCGGTCACGTCTTAGCAAAACCGAGCAAAACGACATACTGTACCAAGGTCATAAAATGTATTCGTACAGCAAACACGAAATAAACCTCGAAAGAAACAAAATCCTACCATTTCAAGGATTATAATCGAGTTGTTCCTTTTCACCGCTAATTCCTCCAGTTCTGATAATATTCTAAACCCTTCCCAGTGTTTTATCTGTTATTTGATTCCACATTTCATATTTTGTTTTCGAAACATTTTTTTAAAAAATAGTTTGCAAAATGACAGTTAAATTGCTGACGTTTTTCACTGAAACACAAACGTTTCGTCTTAGCCAATCAGGAAGTTGCTGATTACCAGTCTACACTCGTTCGCACTTCGCGCATGCGCACAAGTACCATGACCATTGAACGTTCATGACATTTGGGCAACTTTGGATTCCGCTATGTTCTCCCGGGTCCCGGGTGTAATTCCTAATCTCCGGGCGGAATTAGTACCCTCGCACGGTGCTCCGCACCGGCTCGGGGATTAGATACTTATTGATTATATAGTAAAAAGTTAGTTTTAGAAGGCGAAGAGCCACATACGTGGAAAAAAATTTAATAAATCATTATCATTATTATATTTTATAGAGAATGGGGAACAGATGATCATCATACATGTGCTTGTTATACAAGGAAAAAAGAACTTTAAGTCTAACTGGGGCTTTAGTTTTGGATACTGTAAATGTAAGTACATACATTTTGTGATAATTTTTTTGTTAATGCCATATATACATTATGTAAAGCCAAAATAGTTCTTTTCCAGGAGATAATTTTTTCCAAATATAAGAATTAAGAACTCAAATACTGTATCATTGTGGGCTGAAAAGTTGTAATTATAGTTCTTAAAGTTTCTGTAATTTTTTCCCAGAAATAACAAAATAGCAAGATATTTTACAGAGAAGATTGAAAAATGTGCATCAACAACATTGGTTGACTTTAATTCAATGATGTTGATGCATGACAGAAAGAGTATTTATTGCTAAGTTATAAGTATGAACATTTTGAATAATACAGTGACTCTTTGGCTGTCTGCATATTATAAATTTAATGCAGAACATATAGAGAGAATGTGGACTTAACACAGTGAGAATTGTTTCTAGTTGTAGAATGTTGACTTCTAGCGATTGGAGTTGAACAATCTACTTGAGAATATTTTCTTGGATGCAATAATGGTGTATATTAATACATGCAGTATATTGTGAGATTTTTTATGGTTAAAATCTGGAAGGTAATTTTCACCAATTATATTTTAGAACAACAATTGCTAATGGGTTATTTTGACCCATCTGTTTTTACAGAGTTTTTACAGCTCTTCAATACGTAGAGTTATGAGCTGAATCAAACTGCAAATCAAAATTATCATCTACATAGCATGCACTGTAGAACAGATATGAAGGATTTATTTTACCCGTTAATGCAGGTTCGGCAACGCGAAAAAGCATCTGACAAGTCATGAAAATTGAACAGTAATCAAGAAGAACGAATTCATGTTCAAAAATCAAAACAAATCGAAAAAAACAAAATCCGAAAAATATAGTTACTTACGTCGCAAAAATCTTTCTCACAAATCTGACTTTATGCTGATAATATTTTTCTTAAATTGAACTCAATAATTGTGACCCTCTACGGGAAAACATACATTAACGGTTTGAAAAAACGGGCTGAAATACCGTTTGCTATCCGTTTTCTATCCGTGAAAATCAAAAACGGTTGCCGTTTAAAAATTTTAAACGCCCGTTTAAATTTTATTGCTTGGCGTTTAAACGGTTTGTTCAAAACGTGAAAACGTTTTGAGCGATCCGTGAAAACATTTTGGTAGAGCTGTGAAAACGTTTTGCTTTAGCCGTAAAAACGTTTTGGTAAAACCGTGAAAACGTTTTGGTAGAGCCGTGAAAACGTTTAAGTAAAACCGTGAAAATGTTTTATTACGTACACAGACGTAAACATGCAGGTTTCACCTTTCACCTATATAACCAGTATAACGTTTCCGCTTATTAACTCTTGTTGCGATTACTTCTCAATTTATGAAACACTCACCCTTCGATGGGGTCAATTGCTATATCCTGAGGCAAGAGAGTTTCAATCAGCGTTCTGCTGTCTTTACCATCTAAAGTCGCCACGTCAATGGTATTCTTGTAGTAATCACTCCAGAATATACGACGTCCTATCCAATCAATTGTTAACGCCTCAGCATCCTTCACAACGACTTCTTCATAAGTTCCGTCATAATTTGCCCTACGAATCTCTTTATCTTCTTCCGCAAAATATATTTTCTTATTTTTCATGTCAATGTCCAGCGTTGATATATTTCCTTTTCCATCTACGACGACTGTCGCATCAAGGGTGGTTAAATCGACAGCCAAGATTGCAGTCTTGGTCGCCAAGAACATATATTGCTCAGGATAAGGTCCTGGAAAAAGATTCCAGCTGAAGCTAAATACTGCGCATTAATGTACAGGTTTTCATAGTTGTAAACGTAAAAAACTATTGCAGAAATGTGGTGCTTTGTGTGATTGTTCGCTGGATAAATTTTAAAATTTGATCCAAATTTATTTCTTAAAAACATTGCGGCTAGCGCGGCCAGCATGATTTTCCATACAAATCTATAATGAGTGAGGAAAATTTACATTTGCGCATTTTGCTCGATTTATCCAAAACAATTAAAAGATTGCTCAATTTCCAATATTATTAAGGCTAAATCGGTTTTTGTTGATATGTGGCTGAAAAACTTGGAAGTATTTCTGAATCAGAGACCGGTAAAAGTTAAAATTTGCGTCTTTCTTGAGGTGTTTTTGTGAGCGGTTCGTGCCCCAGGATTTACACAAACACCATCTATTAACTCGATTTTTGTGACGATAAAGCACTAAAATGGGAAAATATTAACCAAAATACGAAGATCTATGATATGGGAGAGATAATATGTAACTTGATAGCTCGTGCGGTGGAACAACACTGTTAAAATCTACTTCGCCTGGTGTTATATGTCAGTTCATAGCTGCATGGTGAAGGTGTACTTACTACGACGTTGAAGTTATTATATTTGTTGGGAAGCCTTTTTTAATATACTCAAGAGGGTATACAGCCAAATAAGTTTAATGTTACAATCCTGTGTGCTTGCGATTGTTTAGACAGACTCTGGTTCTGACTAAACCTTGCGTACAGTAATAAAACCATCAGGCATTAATTAGTATTAGTCAATAGTTATAGCCTACACAGCCAGAAACGCCACAGACTTGCTGCAAGTTGCGGGTTTTACCGGCCTGCTGCAAGTTGTGAACAGGTTGCAGCAAGCTTGTTGACGTCATCAACTTGCAGCAAGCCGGTAAAATCAGGCCTGCTGCAAGTTGACATTTGCAGACTTGATGCAGGTTGATGAAACAAGTTGCATCAAGTCTGCAAATGTCAACTTGCAGCAAGCCTGATGGAACAACTTGCATCAAGTCTGATGAACGCATCAATGCTGATGCAAGTTGAGAAAACCAGGCTTGCCGCAAGCTGTCACTTGCAGACTTGATGCAACTTGTTTTATCGACTTGAATTAAGTCTGTCGATATCAAGTTTTAACAAGTCTGATGGAACAATTTGCAGCAAGTCTGTCAGCACATCAATGTTGATGCAAGTTGAGAAAATCAGACTCACGGCAAGTTGTTATCTACAGGCTTGCTGCAAGTTGTTCAAACAATTTGCAGCATGGTTGTGGCTAACAAGTCCTGACAAGTTTGATAACAACTTGCAGCAAGTGGTTAAAATCAGGCTTGTTGCATCTTGATATTTGCCGTTTGCTATAGCAATTTGATAACAAGTTTATTTGATTTGTTCACAACGAGGTTCACAGTTTATAACAGGTTTGTTTATTGTTCGCTTCGGCCGTGGAAAGCAGTTTCCTCGATTATTTTATTGCGCTACACATGAATATTGTCAATGGAGATTTTTGTATTTTAAATCAAAAAGATTATTTTGCTTTATTTAGCCATACTGCTATTTCTAATAAATAAAATTAGATGACTTGAAATGGACAGCTGTAGAAAAATTCTTGCAAGTCGCAATAATTATAAATCTTATAAAAATTGAAATTTAGGAACAACTTACGTATACCACAGAATATCTAACAAAAGTAGAACTCTATACTATTTTTTCGTAAGTGTGATTCGTCATGATTCGTCACTTAGCAAGTACATTTTTTTGAGGCTGTCACTCCCTGCCAATGTCTAAAATCAGGGCATTTTTAGTACTGGCAGGGGGGTGACTACCTCAAATAAATGCACTTGCTAAGTGACGAATCATGACGAATCACACTTACGAAAAAAGTACAGGAGTTCTACTTCTGTTAGATATTCTGTGCGTATACTATCGTTACGTTTCTTTAATCTGACTGGATAAGCGCGTATGCACTCGCCATCAATCCTCGTTGCAATTGGATGAAATATTACAAAGATATCAAACACGTAATCAAGTTCGGTTGTTTTTGTCTCATTTTGGGTCAACAAAATTTCATGTTTTTTAACAAGTGCGAAGTGCGAACTAAAATCCTCGCTAAAATCAAATAAAGCGAAGAAGAAAGAAATCTCAAAAGAAAAAAGCTCAAAGCTGGTTTGATTTTTGAAAAAGTGGCAACGAAAATAGATGATTTAAAGCCTAACAAATGAAAATACATGAACGACTGAGTAAAATTCATCGACATCGTTGATATGAAATTATATGAAATTCGTTACTGAATTTCTTTTCAATTTCAAGAGAAATCTGTGACGAGGAAGACGCCTTATTGAAGCTTGTGTATGTACTATTGTAAAGAAAAATATTTTGTTTGTTTGTTTTGCTAAGTCAAAACTTATCTCACAAGTGTTAAAATGCTTGTTATTTCACGAAACATTAAAACCGAAGTCTCGGCCGAAGTATGGCAACCTCGATGGCTACCGTTTGGTGGATGTACGAAGCTTCATAAGGCGCTTTCCTCACTTTGCTTTTTTACAAATTGCATCAAGCCTGCAGTTCACAAATTGCATCAAGTCTGCAGTTCACAAATTGCATAAAGTCTGCAGTTCACAAATTGCATAAACTCTGCAGTTCACAAATTGCATCAAGTCAGCAGTTCACAAATTGCATCAAGTCTGCAGTTCACAACTTGCATCAAGTCTGCAGTTCACAAATTGCATCAAGTCTGCAGTTCACAACCTGCATCAAGTCTGCAGTTCACAACTTGCATCAAGTCTGCAGTTCACAACTTGCATCAAGTTTGCAGTTTACAAATTGCATCAAGTCTGCAGTTCACAACTTGCATCAAGTTTGCAGTTCACAAATTGCATCAACTCTGCAGTTCACAACTTGCATTAAATCTGTTAACAACTTGCAACAGACTTGATATTATCAAGCCGGAGCAAGCGATGCGAACGCATCCTGATATCGGCTTGATGATGGTAACTTGCATCAAGTCTGCAGCAGGCCTGCTACAACATGCGCGTTTCTGGCTGTGTAATGCTTGATTTTAATCAAATATAGTTGAGACAAGCTTTTTTTTAAATTCTGGTAAAAAGCATGGCTGTGCAATTTAAACCATGTACACTTAATACTAATAAAATAATTAACACTTATTTACTGTGAACAAAGGAAACATTATGTTTTGTGGACCCAAGAAATGTCGAGATCATAGCCAACACATAATTTTAAAACAGCTATTCCGTTGAATTTAAATAGTTGTCTCACAATGTCACTAAAGCCTTTTAATATTTGATATTCATTTACATGTAATACTGTAAAAAGGATAACATTCTCCCCAATCGGAAAAAAAGGGATTTGAAACTGTCTGATGATTATTTGCTTGTTTTCATTCTATTAAAGGCAGAATCATGATAGTAGTGTTTATTTAATTGTTTACTTCAATGGTAGTGATGTTTATTGTTAACAAATGTTCCAAATTAATAATATCTTCTGTGCAATACCCTTCTGACATTGTAGTTTCAACTTGAAGTTGGAAATAAAGCAATGCTTGAGTTGCAAAAATATTTCTGTTCATCAGCTCTAAATGCATGCATAATTGAACCTGAAGTTAAGGAACCTTCATAACTATAATGTCTTGACCATGCCTTATATTGCAGTACCTAATTTGCAGCAAATATACCATGTGTGTGCTATTAAATTTAGTGTTACCATAAGGGCCACTATGAAAACATTTAATGACCCTTTTTCATGTTATTTTTATATATATTAAAATTATTCCAAATTACTATTACATTACTTTTTGTATTTTTTTTCATAACAATGACTGTTCATTACTCCTTCTATCTGTACATACAAGCACACTGCATACAAATATTCTTGAAAAATTGTAAAACTGCATCTTTAGCTTCATTATCAATCTTTTTCATTATAATTGTTACTTTCAAAAAGCTCCCATATTTATTCTTTTAGCATTCTATAGGTTGGGAAAGTTCACATGATCATTTTGAAAATTGAAACTGTATTTAGTATTTCAATTCAACATTGAGTAATTACGTCCATTTGGCATGTTTCTTGTTCACAACGTTTAGATTATAAATGTGTCATAAGGACAACACAATATCGCATAGTAATGATTCTATACAAGTACAACAATCACAATTTATAGTGGACCACCTTAATAGATGGTGTTTGTGTATATCCGGGTCCCAATTAAACACCTCGCAAAAACGCCTCGAAAAAGTTGCAAAATTTCAAAACTTACCGGTGACTGATTCACATATACTTCCGGCCGCATATCAACAAAACCCATTTATCTTAATAATCTTTCAAATTGAGCAATTTTTTAATCGTTTTGGATAAATCAAGCAAAACCGGAAATGTAAATTTCCCTCACTCATTATAGATATGTACCGAAAATGGCACTCGCCCAAATGTTTTAGCACTCCCTGGCCAACGGCGTCAAAAACCTTCAATCCCCCTAATACTATTTTTGCTGAGATTTATGTCCTCACTTCGTGACCAGATTATGAACAACAAATATTGAGCGAGAAGAAATTTTGTTGATTTACGCTCTTTGACGCCAGTTCCAAAGGACAATTGCATGAAAGTACACATCATATACCATCCCCGTTCAGCGAATCCCATAAAGCATCCAGACTACTGCAGAGTCATTAACTACAAGCTTCGCTTCATCTATAATTTTACATTTGCTATAATGAAATTATCATTATATAATAATGTTAAGAATTTTTTTGTCGAGAGTTATGCTCTATAAAAGAGGTCATGTACAGACGTGCGTACGTGTAGCTTGGATTAGATAAGTCATTTAAAAAGCAAAATCGTTACCGAAAATGAGAAATATAGTGGATGTGACTACAAGTCGAACAAGTTATAAGATAATATTCTTGTATGTTTGCATGGTGACAGTCAATAAGCATAGACTATTGAAGGGAATAGTAGCTATATGCAATGTGTAATTTAGCTTGTAGGTACACCACGTACGTATTTAATACTGCAAAGCTTTTAAACACGACTGCATGTATAATTGGCATATAGGTAAAGACTGATTGACTGATGGCAGTCATTTTTTTGACATAATACGAAAAAAAAGAGATTTACACCTATAATTTAAAAAAGCAATGAATCGTTAGCTTACCGTCATAGAAGCACATGTCTGAGTGCATACGCATTCTCTCCTGGAGATATTCTTTTTCTGCCGTGCACCCAGGGGAATTATTCTCTCCTCGACGTTCATTTAAATATCGTTGAGTTTCATTGTCAGATCGTTGACTCTCAGTAAAATAGCGTTCCATTTCATCCAAGTTTTCCATACTGTCATTCACACATCTCTTTTCCCAGTCATTCACGTCTTCTTTCAGTTGTTTTAATTGCTCGTCACAAATGGGAATATCTTCATCGCAATTGATCAGATTTCCACCAAAGTAAATCAAGATCGTTAAAGCAAACAACATTTTGGTTGAAACAAACCTCATTTCCATTATTTCTGTTTATTTTGCCAGATGATTAGATCTAAACAAATGAATAGAATAGAAAAATTGACGGTTGACAAATGACAGCTGCAATACTCGCAAAAACACTATTATACTCGCCATCACAGTCGCAGTTAGATTCCTCCTTTTAAAAAAATCAATAATTCCCCCCTCACCCCCCCCCTTTAGCGATGCAGATTATTTTTAGTAAATAATCTCTGAGCCTGCGGCAGAAGAACGCGACATCGAAGTTGCAATTGGTCATCGTTTGTTACATGACAAGCCTGGTCTGGCGTACGAAAAAAAACAATATGAAACACTATAGCGCTATCGCTTTGATTCAAAAATTTGATCCAAAAATTAGTTTTCATTTTTGACCATTTATTTACGTATATCTACAGAAAAATTAACTAATGTATACCATTAAACTATTTTTTGAAGGTACTTCTTATACATGAAGGAAGATTTATTTGAACACAATCATTCGCAATTACACACATTTAGCCGCGTTAAGATTTAGTCAAGATTTCGTGTTCCAAATACAACGATAATTAATGAAAAATTTGCGGAAATAGAAAAATTCATATCGCTTCTGGCGAGATCTATACAGTCGAGACAATGAATGGAAATCTTGGCTTCAGGACATGGCACTGTACATGTTATATAAACATTTAGGTTATAAGCATTCATGTTGCATTTTTGGCAGGTAATTTTTCTTCAACCCTCTTTAGATGGGTCCGTCAATCATGAGCCATCTAAACCTGTGTAAACTTATATCCAAACTTATATCCGTAACAACTCAATATATTGTTGACTTGTCAACAGCTAAGGTTTCACTAATAACTTTTAGAAAACTACCAGAAGCAAAAAATCTCAAAGCGATGGGGATTTCCTCTTCTGGCTCAAGTACGTGACTTCTCTTTGTTTCGCAATCTTAACTTCACGAAGCTGGTCAGTTGTGATATAATTAACTACATTTTTTCCAAACCTGCATGTATCTTGTTCTCAACGAAAGTTAACCTACCAATACATGAGAAGTGTCAAATTAACCTTTACAGTGCGCACGGGCGGATCTAGGATTTTTCGCACGTTAGTCAAAATATCGGATGTAAAAACGGGGAGGTGGTTCAATTGCCGTCCCCCCCCCGGAATAATGACATTTCAAAAATTATTAACTTATCATCTGAACGCGAAATTTATACAAAAATTATACGCGAAAAGTACGCATTAAAAATGTTAACGTTTAAATGTTTACTGAGCCTTCAGTTTTAATAGCAGAAACACGTGAGCCGAAATAACAGGCAATAATAGGAAATTACACCCATGGGCATGGAATAAAAACATGAATGCGGTCAATTTGTAAGAGTGACTGAATAATATTCATAACTGTTACAGCATAAGCTAGTATTGCTCCAAGCTATGCTACATGCCAAATATAATATGTGCTTAATGCCGCTTACACTTTACAGTAAATATCGCAGTTGGGCAATATTGTTGATAATGCGCTATAATTCATAATTGCCATATTGGTTTGGTGGGTAATCATGATTACGTTGTACTTTTTGACATAAACATGGATTACATGATTTTACAAATATCTAAATCTTCTTTACGCGCCTAGATCTAGTATTATGCATATAGGCTGTTTGTTAGACGTAAATTCATACAGTAAATCGTGGTTGATACTTGATACAAATAAACAATACAATAATCGACCTTATGACCGAACGACGACGGGCGAATGCAAATATATGCTAATACAGAACCACGCTCAAATATACAGTTAACATAGCAAATTATAGGACTAATAGTTTATACGAACTTATAGGAGTATTGTTTATATGAACATCGACATGAATCTTTACCTTATCTCAGTAGATTTCTCATGTTGACGAGCACACGAGGTAACGGAATTATCCATATTACTTGACAAGACGGCAACTGAAAGCTATTCGACATATTCGCTATTTGTAGCGTGAACTTCCTAACAAAGATCTGTATTGGGCCTTGTAGGAACCTCAAATCATTGCGATGAAATGCCATTTTGTAAAAATAAATATACGAATCCGTATAAATGGCGAGATCGAGCAGTAGAATCCAACAGATTTTTAAAAATATCCGCTGTCAAACATCCAGAAATTTTTCAATATTCCTTATTTACTGAAAAGGATATATTTTTCCTTTAAGTCAAATAAAGCAAACCAATAAGAAATCAATATTTTTCTTTCACCAGCCAATGGGAAAGCTTAAATTTGGCGAATGAGTCAGACCCCCGCAAAGATAAGGCAAGCCAATGAAGAATCAGTATTAGCCCTCCACCAGCCAATCGGAAACGCTTAAATTGCACAGATGAGTCAGACCCCCGCAAAGATGAGTCAAACTCATTCTAAGCCAATCAAATGCCTAGAATCAGAAGTCGATGAGGCAAAATTCAAGCGGGTATCCGCCATTATGACTCATTTGCCGAGGGCTCAAAAGTCAGTGACCGGCAACTGCATGAAGCTTAATAATTTCTAACTGGACTGTTAATTTATCGAATGACTATTTTCGCTGACTGAAGTTTAAATATTTCGACCTGGACTTGTGTATTTTTTGACTTAGTCGCGTGACTCATCTGACAACCCCTAAATCCGCCCCTGCAGTGCGGACCGCGAGAAATATGGCGCGACTCGCGAGTAGCGGGTGTACGAGCTTAGCTTTACCGGCTTTTAAATACCAAGTGTATTTTGGAGATGTGCGTGCAGTTAAACCTTTACTTAGCCGCTTTCCTAAGAGTAAAAGCGCTTGAATAATATTTGTTTTTGTAAAACGGTTCATCGGAAAAAATTCAGACGAAATGTTGGATACTATATAGGCGCTCGTAATCTTTAACCATTCTGCAGCATGCAGAAACACAATCAAACCTCGACACTTTTTTGCAAAGCACCAGGATTTGAACGCGTGTAAGTTACGTATGCATCACTATGCATAAATTAGGCTTCGAGAAATGTAGCTGCGTGCATAGTGATGCATACGTAACTTACACAATTGAATAAGTCCATGAAGCTACATATCTTGATTTTTTATGCTTTTTAAAATATCCTTGAAACGATGCTTTCTATTTGCTGGTGCAGCGAGAGAGCAAGCTAGGCAGCACTGAGCACTCCTAATCTATACATCAGGGGTCGGTTGTATCATAGACAATCTAAAAGACAGGGACTGGAAACGCTGTGATAAAAGCAGCGATGCTGGCGTGCAATCCGTGATGCGCCCAAATCACGTAGCAATTATCTGTTGCCCTGACAACCTGCCCTAATTTTGACCAAAATAATCACAAACCTGTTTTATATTTTTTGCCTTTTGGCATTTTTTAAATTTCTATTTACATTGAAAATTTACATTTACTGCAAATAGATATTTTCCTTCAAGGTATGTATGATTTAATATTTTTTTCCCTAGTTTATAGTAATCAAATCTTAACTTTTATCGGAACCTTTACATCAAAATGGCACACGAAAAAAAATCCGCGAGAGTGTACATATGTTTCGAACCCTGAAGCTTGAAAATTACCCGATCCCTTATCAGTCATATCAGAAATTTATCGTTTTAAATGCACTGTGAGTGCATTTAGCGCATCAACATAGCTATGCGATTCGCCAATTTGGTAAAATAAAGGCCTTTTGCATCAACCGGAAATGGCTATTTCTGTTTCCCCTACTCCGAACCCTAGAACTCTAGTTTAAATAAAGTTCAGGCTTCTTAATTTACATCTTTTGAACAAAAATAGACCCTTGGGTGCACTTAACCGAATTTTAAGCATATAATTATTGGGTCAAACAGAACTAAAAACACCCTTTGAGTGCTTGCGTATTGTTTTTGACGGCAAAAATATCGCCATTGTTGTTGTCAAAGTTTGTACTTACTTCGAACCCTGTAACTACAGTTTTAGTACACTTCAGGCTTTGTCATTTACATATTTTTAATAAAGATAAACATGTGGATGCACTTAACCGATTTTTAAACCTATATTGGGTCAAACAAAGCCAAAAACCTCTTTGAATTCTTGCGTAATATTTTTGACTGTAAAAACTGAGTCGCCATTGTTTTTGTCAAAGTTTCCACTCATTTCGAACCCTGTAACTATAGTTTTAATACACTTCAGGCTTTGTAATTTATATCTTTTGAACAAATATAAATCTGTGGATGCACTTATCCGGTTTTTAAACCTATATTGGGTCAAACAGAGCCGAAAAACCTCCTTTGAATGCTTGCGTAATGTTTTTGACATTAAAATTGAGTCGCCATTGCATGATGTCGCTGCTGTCCGCATCACGGATTACGCGTGAAAAAACAACAGCGTTTCCAGTCCCTGTCTTTTGGATTGTCTATGGTTGTATAAAACTATATCTATATCACACTTTGCATACTTAAATCCAAAGTAACTCAGAAATACATGACTCTGATTCAGACTGATTGGCTCATTTTATACAACTGGCCCCAGGAGGGAAAATCTCGATTTTACTTTGCGCGTTGCATTGTGGTACCTCTTATACATTCTTTCTTGAAGAGATTCTTAGCGTTCCAAACGTGAGAAATGTAATTTTGGAATTGGTGAAAATAATGATTATAGTCTATCGATCCTTCGCAAAAACACGTAGAAATTTTGACAAACCAAGCGATTAAACTTGTGAAAGCCCCAACAATTTCTATTCGTTGGCCCGCTGAGATATAACAACTTATAAGCGAATTTTGTCAAACGTCTTCTATCAAACCAGGTTATAATGTATACGTAGTATCGAAATGTTCGTCAAAACGAAGCAATGATGCTTAATTCACACGTACTCTTACGAAAAGCATGGGCCAAATGAGATGACATGTTTCCTCTAGCCACGCAGCTATTCGCGTAACGACACAATAAATTGTTACATGGTAACATGGAGTAGTCGAATTACAAAGTTTCAAATCAATATTACAAATCAATACCCCCTTTCATACCTACATTCATACATATATTCAACAATATCTAAATCCAAAGCCGATAAGAAAATAGACATTACAATA